GGAATTTTGGGGGATTTTGGGGGTTTTTAAGGGGGTTTGGGGCAGATTTTGGGGGTCTGGGGGAGTTTTGGGGTCACCCCAAGGGTCTGGGGGGGATTTTGGGGTCACCCCGAGACCCCTCCCCAATTCCAGCCCCTTTTGGGATCCATGGGTGGGGCTGGACGTGCCAAAAATGGGAATTTTGGGGAATTTTTGGGTTTTTTAGGGGGCTTTGATCAGGGTTCGGGGTTTTGGGGTCCTGGAGGGTTTTGGGGTTTTTTTTGGGGGTTTTTGGGGTGACCCCTCCCCAATTCCAGCCCCTGCAGGAGCTGCAGGCGGGGCCGGAGCTGTGCCAGAATTTGGGATTTTTGGTGTTTTTGTGGGAATTTTTGGTGGATTTTTTCTGGGAATTTTTAGGGGTTTTTAATGGGGGTTTTGAGCAGGGTTTTGGGGTTTTTTGGGGGGGTTTTTGGGATGACCCCTCCCCAATTGCAGCCCCTGCAGGAGCTGCAAGCAGGGCCGGAGCTGTGCCAGAATTGGGAGTTTTTGGGGGATTTTGGGGAGATTTTTGAGCGGATTTTTGGGGGGTTTTTGGAGGGGTTTTGAGCAGGGTTTTGGGGTTTTTTGGGGGGTTTTTGGGGTGACCCCTCCCCTATTGCAGCCCCTGCAGGAGCTGCAGGCAGGGCCCGGGCTGTGCCAGAATTTGGGATTTTTGGGGGATTTTGGGGAGATTTTTGAGCGGATTTTTGGGGGTTTTTAGAGGGGTTTTGAGCAGGGTTTTGGGGTTTTTTTGGGGGGTTTCTGGGGTGACCCCTCCCCTATTCCTGCCCTTGCAGGAGCTGCAGGCAGGGCTGGGGCTGTGCCAGAATTGGGAATTTTTGGGGGATTTTGGGGAAATTTTTAGGGTTTTTAATGGGGGTTTTGAGCAGGGTTTTGGGGTTTTTTGGGGGGTTTTTGGGGTGACCCCTCCCCAATTGCAGCCCCTGCAGGAGCTGCAAGCAGGGCCGGAGCTGTGCCGGAATTGGGAATTTTTGGGGGATTTTGGGGAGATTTTTGAGCGGATTTTTGGGGGTTTTTAGAGGGGTTTTGAGCAGGGTTTTGGGGTTTTTTTGGGGGGTTTCTGGGGTGACCCCTCCCCAATTCCAGCCCCTGCAGGAGCTGCAGGCGGGGCCCGGGCTGTGCCGGATGCGCCAGGACCCGGCGCGGCCTCACCTGGTGGGGACGGCGGGGAAGGAGAACGGGCTCAAGGTGTGGGACCTGCAGCGGCCCCAGGAGCCCCTGTTCCGTGCCAAGAACGTGAGTGGGAGCCCAGAGACACCCCAAAAACACCCCAAAAAATATCCCAAAATACCCCAGAAACAGCTCCAAAAACAAGCCTTGAAATACCCTGAAACCATCCCAAAAATACCCCAAAAAATATCTCAGAAATACCCTAGAAACAGCTCCAAAAACAGTCCCTAAAATACCCTGAAACTATCCCAAAAATACCCCAAAACTACCCCAGAAGTATCTCAAAAACACCCCAGAAATTCCTAAAATCTACCACGGAAATATCTCAGAAACAGCTCCAAAAACAATTCCTAAAACACCCTGAAACCACCCCAAAAATACCCCAGAAATACCCAAAAACTACCCCAGAAATATCCCAGAAAACAACCCTTAAAATACTCTGAAACCACCCCAAAATCCCCTCAAAAATACCCAAAAACTACCCCAAAAGCATCAAAAAAATACCCCAGAAATATCCCAAAAACAGTTCACCCAGCAGCCCCTAAAATACCCTGAAACCAACCCCAAAAACACCCCAAAAATACCCAAAATCTACCCCAAAAATACCCCAGAAACAATTCCAAAAACAAGCCTTAAAATACCCTGAAACCACCCCAGAAACACCCCAAAAATACCTGAAAAATACCCAAAAAGTACCCCAGAAATACCCCAGAAAACAGCGCCACAAATAACCCCTAAAATACCCTGAAACCACCCCAAAACTACCCCAGAAATATCCCAAAACCAGTTCCAAAAACAACCCCTCAAAATACCCTGAAACCACCCCAAAAACACCCCCAAAATACCCTAAAAACAATTCCAAAATACTCTAAAAGTATCCCAAAACCGCTTAAAAACCAACCCAGAAACCAACCCCAAAAATACTCAAAAAGCACCTAAAAAATAGCAAAAACCAACCCCAAAAATACCCAAAAAATACCCCAAAACCACCCCCAAAAATACCTCAAAAACACCCAAAAATCCCCAAAACCAATCCCAAACGCGACACTAAAAATGCCCAAAAATTACCTTAAAAAACCCCAAAATATCCCAAGTTGTCCCAAAATGTCCCGAATTGACCCCAAACGTCCCCAAAATGTGGCAGGTGAGGAACGATTGGCTGGATCTGCGCGTGCCCGTCTGGGACCGGGACCTGCGCTTCCTGCCGGGCTCCCAGAGGATCGTCACCTGCACGGGGCACGGCCAGGTGGGCACCGGGGGGGCATCGGGGTCACCTGGGGGCACCTGAGAGGATTTTGTGGGGTCCTGAGAGGATCTGGAGGGATTTCAGGGGATCCTGGGGGGATTTTGGGGTGTCCTGAGGGGGTTCTGGGGGGTTTTTAGGGGGTCCTGGGAGGATTTTGAGGGGTCGTGATGGGATTTAGGGCAATTTTGGGGGGTCCTGGGGAGATTTTGTGCAAAATGGAAGTAATCCAAACCCTATCCAAAAAAAAAAAAAAAGCAGACCATAAATAAAAAGGTTATAAGAAATTATAAAGAGTCATCTAGTCTATCCATTGTCCACAGAAGAATCAAGGTTTATGGTTTTCCTGAGAAAAACCCAACAGCAGATGAGAAAGAAATCCAACAATCAAGACTCCATGATATCCCAATCTACTTCACAATTTGACAGAATTCTGTTAGAAGTATTTTCCCAACTTGCATCAATCTTACTAGAGCAGTTTAGAGTTCTTTAGCAGTTCTCCTACACACCCTGTACACAAAGGATTGTAAAATTTCTTTTCAGCAGACTTTTAATTGTTTGAAGATTATTTTTAAAATCCCCTTTCCCATCTTTTCTTCTTTAGATTAACCAGCCTCAATATTTCAGTTCTCTTCCAGACACCAAGTTATCTAAGGCTGATCACCCTCACTGTTCTCCTCTGCACTCCCACTGCTTCGCCTCCTCCCTGGAGGATGCCCAGAACAAAACACCACACTTCAATTTAGGCCTTAGGGATTACTTCATGAGGCTTCTTGTGGGCACTGCGATATCCTTTTCACAAGTTTAACCCTTCAGTCTTGGTGGACCACAGACTAAAAATTATCATCAGATCTTTTTTCTACAGAACTGCCCACTAGCCAGTTATTCTTAACTCTGAGTTCAAGCATTTTATGCCTCTTGTTACTCTAAAAGCCTAAATTGATGCTTTTCTTTACATGGTGTCATCCCACTTTCCTCTCAAACCACTTCTCCAGCCTGCTAAGATTATGCTCAATTCTCACTGTGTCCTTCAACATCTTTGCAGTCCCTCCCAAGTGCACTTAGTAACTGTAATCCAAATGCAAGCTCAGTAACTGTAATCCAGATGACAATGAAAAGCACTAATGAATGTGCTGAGTATTACTGGTCCAGAATATCTCCCTCCTTTCAAGAGTGACTCAATGGGTACAGCAAGAAGCCTGACTTGACACTCTTCACACTGGAGATTCAGGCTCAGGAGGAGCCCCCTCCTCAAAAAGGGGTGAAGGACGAGGAGGGGGACGAGCTGTGGGACGCTCTGGAGTCCATCCCCACCCCCAGGAGGGGCAAGAAAAGGAAAAATTCGGGGATTTGAGGGGTCCCGGGACCCCCCAAAATCCCCCCACGCCCCCTCCCCCGCTGTATATAACGTCCGACGTGAGGGAAATAAACGGAATTTTGGGGTTTTTGGAGAAAAAAATGGGAATTTTGTGGGAAATTGGGGCTGGGGGTGATGGGGAGAGCACAAAGGGATTTTGGGGGCGCGGCCCCTTTAAATCTTTAACCCCGCCCCTCAAGGGGTTTAGCCCCGCCCCCAGGAGCTAATTTTGCTAATTAGCATCTCAGTAATTAGGATTACCCCAGCAGGGGGTTTTGGGGTGATTTTGGAGCTTTTTTGGGGTACCCTGGGGTGACACTGACGTCACCGAATCGTGGCCGCTATCGCGATAGAGCAGTGATAATTATTAATGAACGATTAATCTAACCTGGTTTTGATTAATTAGATTGGGGTAATTAAATCGGGGATGACATGCAGAGCAGAGAGGAGGCTGCAGGAGCGACCCCGAGTGACGGCAGCGTGGTTCATATCGCGATATAAACGCGATAATCGCGATTAATCGCATTTCTGATCGATTCTTGACCATGAGGTCCCTCCAATCCCGGGCCCATATCGCGATAGAATCGCGACTCACTCTGTTTTTCACCAATAAAGGTCCCCGGCGGGGTGCACGGTACTTGGGGACACCTGAGGGACACCTGGGCGACACCTGGGGGTCACCTGGAGGTACCTGGGGGACACCTGAGGGGCATTTGAGGGCACCTGGGGACACCTGGGCACGGAGCGGTGCCAAAGAAGGCGCTGGGGGAGCAAGGTTTGCTCCACAAGCAACAATTTCACCTCCCCAGTCCCTCCCAGTCCCTCCCAGTTCATCCTGGTAACCCCAGGAGCAATGCGGGCAGTGAGAGGAAAATGAGTTTAAACGGAAGCAAAACCTTTTTTTTTTCATATAAAAAACCTGTTCAGTGGAGGGGAACGCCCCCGCCAACCTTCCCGTCCCGTTCCCCGCCTCTTTCCCAGCTCAGCCCGCAATTTTCTCCCGATTTTTCCACGCACGGACCCCAAAAATCGCTAAATTCTGCCCAAATTTACGCTCCCATGCTGCCTTTGGCTTCGCTACTTTGCATGATTCCCGCCTTTTATTTGCATAACTCCGCCCCTCGCCACGCCCACCAGTTAGAAGCCCCGCCCCTCCGCCTTCAGCTCGTGATCTGATTGGACGAGCCAGAATTTTGATTTGCATTCGGCACGCTTATTAGGAATCTTATATCTCATTAGCATAGCCCCGCCTATTAAAAAATCGGATTGCAAAGCGTAATCCAACCCAAAATGGGTTAAAATTCTGGATTTTGGGGTTAAATTCCCGGTTTTGGGATGCTGGGCTCAGGTTTGTCCCCTGGCAGGGTCACTGGGGGGGCTCAGATTTGTGTGACCCCTCCCCAATTTCCTCACCTGGGCTTCCCCCCTCCCTAAATAACCACAAAAAAATCAAGGTTTTTAACAAAAATAGCCATTTTAATTATTATTAATATTAAAACTTTTCACGATGCAAAAGCTGGAAAAAAGAAATTTTAAGGAGTTAGGAACCTGAAACGCCTGCAGGACCCCAAAATCTTCATTTGTGACCCCCCCAAGGACTCAACCCCACCCAGGGACCCCCCAAAACCCCCCCAGGGACCCCCCAGAGCCTCAGGGGGAACCGTTCAATCACAGGGCTCAGTCTGGGGCGGTATCGCCTCATCCTCGGCAGGGGGGACCCCAAAAAAAACCCCAAAATCCCCTCCCCCAAACACCCTCACTCACCTCAGTCCCCATGGCTCACACCTTCCCAGTCCCTCCCAGTCCCTCCCAGTCCCTCCCAGTTCATCCTGGTAACCCCAGGAGCAATGCGGGCAGTGAGAGGAAAATGAGTTTAAACGGAAGCAAAACCTTTTTTTTTTCATATAAAAAACCTGTTCAGTGGAGGGGAACGCCCCCGCCAACCTTCCCGTCCCGTTCCCCGCCTCTTTCCCAGCTCAGTCCGCAATTTTCTCCCGATTTTTCCACGCACGAACCCCAAAAATCGCTAAATTCTGCCCAAATTTACGCTCCCATGCCGCCTTTGGCTTCGCTACTTTGCATGATTCCCGCCTTTTATTTGCATAACTCCGCCCCTCGCCACGCCCACCAGTTAGAAGCCCCGCCCCTCAGCCTTCAGCTCGTGATCTGATTGGACGAGCCAGAATTTTGATTTGCATTGGCCACGCTCATTATGAACCTCATATCTCATTAGCATAGCCCCGCCTATTAAAAAATCGGATTGCAAAGCGTAATCCAACCCAAAATGGGCTAAAATTCTGGATTTTGGGGTTAAATTCCCGGTTTTGGGATGCTGGGCTCAGTTTTGTCCCCTGGCAGGGTCACTGGGGGGGCTCAGATTTGTGTGACCCCTCCCCAATTTCCTCACCTGGGCTTCCCCCCTCCCTAAATAACCACAAAAAAATCAAGGTTTTTAACAAAAATAGCCATTTTAATTATTATTAATATTAAAACTTTTCACGATGCAAAAGCTGGAAAAAAGAAATTTTAAGGAGTTAGGAACCTGAAACGCCTGCAGGACCCCAAAATCTTCCCCAAATTCCCCCCCGGTGAACAATTCCCCCTCAGCATGAGAATTTACCTTTTAAAATTCACGAATTGGATTAAAAACCCCCAAAATTCCCCCGTGGGGGTGGGGGTCACCCCAGTGAGGACCCCCGGGGGGGCAGAACGCTGTAATGGAATAGAGGGGGGGTCAGTGAGAGCCCTGGACCCCCCCAAAACGCCCCCCGAAGCCCCCCAGGCCCCCTCAGACCGTCCCCGCTGGGACTGCTCGTCCTCCTCTCCCCCCGGGGGCTCCAGGGGGTTCCACCTTCGCAGGTCCTGGGCCCCACGGGGGGGTCAGACACGTGGGGGTCTCCTCATGGGGGGCCTGGCACCCCAAAATCCCATCCCGGCACCCCTAAATCCCACCCCAGGATCCCCAAAATCCCACCCCAGGATCCCCAAATCCCAGCCTGGCACCCCAAATCCCAGCCTGGCACCCAAAAATCCTACCCCAGGATCCCCACATCCCACCCTGGGACCCCCAAATCCCAGCCCGGGACCCCAAAATCCCACCCTGGCACCCCAAATCCCACCCCAGGATCCCCAAATCCCACCCTGGCACCCCAAAACTCCACCCCGGGACCCCTAAACCCCACCCCGGGATCCCCAAGTCCCACTCTGGCACCCCCAAATCCCACTCCAAAGACCCCAACCCCTCCCTGGGACCCCCAAATCCCACTCCATGATCCCAAATCTCCTTTCAGGTACCCCCAAATTCCACCGGAGAACCCCCATCCTTACCCTAGGATCCCAAATCCCTTTTAGAGACCCCAAATCCCACCCCGAGATCCCAAAAACCCCACCCCTAAAACCCAAAGCCCACCCCGGGACCCCCAAATCCCACCCTGGAACCTTTAAATCCCACCTCAGAATCCCCAAATCCCACTTAGAAACCCCCAATTCTCATTCCAGGGACCCCCAAACTTTACCCCATGATCCCAAATCCCACCCTGGGACCCCCAAATCCTACCCCATCACCCCCAGACCCCATTTCAGGGACCCCCAACACTCACCAGGCCCAGGGGTCCCGCAGCTCCCGTGGCTGTGGTGGAATCTGGGGGGTCAGTGTGGGGGGGTCCTGGGGCTGTGGGGGAAATTGGGGGGTCAGGGAGGGGTCAGGGGGGTTCAGTCCCCGGCAGGGGGGTGCAGCCCCCTCCCCAAATCCGATCAGGGCTTTGGTAACTCTGCTGCCATCGGATTCATCCTCCAGCTCAGGGGGTGTCATCGCTTCGGAATGGGGGGGCTGGGGGGGGATTTGGGCGTTTCAGGGGGGCTCTGACCTGAGCTGGGGGCACTGCGGTCCAGGGGTCACCTCAGGGTGAGGCATCTCGCACTGCAAAACATCAATTAATAATATTTATTTCATTAAATTGCTGTTAATTAGGGAATCGTATGGCTGCAGTGTCATTGCTGCAAATTGGGGGGGAATTTGAGGGGGTTCAGGGGGGCTCTGACCTGAGTTGGGGGCACTGCGGTCACTTCATGGTGGCCCGAAGATCACCCTGGGCTGCAGCTTCTCCCACTGCAAAATCCAAATGAACGGTATTTAGTTAATTAAGTTTATTAATTGGTTAATTGCGGGGCCCCCGCAGCTGCTCTACCCCCCCAGCAGGGACCCCCCAAACCCCCCCGGGGTCCCCCCAGAGCCTCAGGGGGAACCGTTCAATCACAGGGCTCAGTCTGGGGCGGTATCGCCTCATCCTCGGCAGGGGGGACCCCAAAAAAAACCCCAAAATCCCCTCCCCCAAACACCCTCACTCACCTCAGTCCCCATGGCTCATGCCTTTAAAACAAAAAGAAAAAAAAACTATTAAATGACAATTCTAACAAAGCAAAGCTTTATAAAACTTCAGTTTAAATTCCATGAGGATTTAAAGCTCTAAACGAGGATCTGAACCTCCGCACGTGGTTTAAGCTCTTCAAAGGGTTAAACCCCCTCCCCCACCACCACGAGGGTCCTAAAGCCCCCCCAAAAACGGATCTGGAGCCCCCTCTTGGGTCAGTGCCACTCAGATTATTCCAGAAGCTTCTCCACTGACCCATCAGCAAGAGAGAGTTCAGGGTGATCATCCCCGCAGCACTGCTGCCCTAAAATCCCGGTTATTAAACCCGAAATGACTCACCTCAGGCACCAGCATCGTTTCGCGGGCAAAAATACTAAAAATGAAACAAAAAGAAAGGACTTAGGATCACAAAATGTTACAAACATGGCGCAGCCAACTCCCGAACCGGGGCAGGACGAGCCCTCAGAGAACTTTACAATCTTCACCGCGCCATCAGCACAGGTCTGTGAGAGACTCATCCCCGAGCAGCCCCTGGGGAAGGCGCGGACCCCTCACGGAACCCCTCAGGGACGGACACAGCGACTGCACCGTGAGGGGAACGGCGCCTGGAGGGCTCCAGGCTGCTCCCCATCAGCCAGGGGAGAGGGAACGCGGTTATGGAGGCCGCCGCACCCCCCTGAAAACCCCCCACATTCCCCCCTCAGGCCTCGGAGCAATAAGAATCTGAACCAACCTCTTCCGACCGCTGCTGGGACAAAATGGCCGTCGCGCTCCCTCACGGGCGCTTAAATAGCGCGCGGGGCATGCCGGGAAGGGGGCGGAGCGTGAGCGCTGAGGGAGGAGAAAAAGGCGGGAAAAGACGGGAGGGACGTGGGGCGCCCCCTGGCGGGTGAGGCCGTGAGGGGAACCCCCGGGGGGGTTTTGGGGGTGGTTTTTTTTAATTAAGAATTCCATCAGAATTCACAGAATTCATTCGGCAATTCCAGAAGGGAATTCGGAAGGGTTCGGAGCAGTCAAATTAATTGTCTTGATGGCTTTTCGGCTTCCTCCTCCGCCAATCGGGTGTTTCCGGGTCTTTCAGCGCGTCCCTCAGCTTCACTCGGGTATTTTCGTCACCTTTCGGCTCCCTCGGTCCCGCCCACCGCCGCACTCGGGTATTTTCGTCACTTTTCGGCTCCTTCGGCCCCGCCCACCACCCCCGCACTCGGGTATTTCCGTCTCCGTTCGGTTGCCTTTCCCCGCCCCCCGCTGCACTCGGGTATTTCCGGCAGCGCTCGGCTCCCTCCGCCCCGCCCCTGCTGCACTCGGGTATTTCCGGCAGCGCTCGGCTCCTTCCGCCCCGCCCCTGCTGCACTCGGGTATTTCCGGCAGCGCTCGGCTCCCTCCGCCCGCCCCTGCAGCACTCGGGTATTTCCGGCAGCGCTCGGCTCTCTCCGCCTCCCCCACAGAGCCTCATTCCCCAGACAGCGTCTTCTCATTAGCAGATTCCAAATTAACGCTCATTAAGCTCCTCCCTCTAATTAACCACTCCATCAGCTGCTAGGGAACCCCTATTAACCCCTCCTAGGCCAATTTCATCCCCAAACCGCTCTGAACGCTTCCCAACCAACATAAAAACAAAGTCAAAAAACTCAACAAAAGTGGCCAAAAAAGCTCAAAAAGCCCCAAAACGGCGGGAATTGAGCCCAAATTCCTTTATTGAGCTCAGGAGTTGGCGTTGGGCCCCTTCTTCTTGCCGAAGGTGGGCACCACGTTGACGAAGCGCCGGTTGTACTGCATGCGCCGCTTGGCCCGCCCCGTCTTCTTCTTCTTCTTCTCCTGCTTGGCCACCTGATGGGAAACCGGGGGGTCAGGGGGGGTCCCCAAAACCCTGCCAGGGTCCCCGAGCCCCGCGGGGGTCTCTAAAGGCGGGGGGAGCCCCCTCAGCGCTCACCTTGGGGGTCTGGCCCCTCACTTTGCCGGCGCGGGCGAGGGAGCCGTGCACCTTCCCTGGGGGGAGAAGGAAATCGGGGTGTTGGGGGGGGTCGTTTTGTTAATTAACACGCAGTAATTAGCGGCCCTCCCCCGGAATTACCGCCCAGCAGGCGCGTGGAGAGGTCCAGGGTGGTGAATTCGGGGAGGGGGCTCTGCCCCAGCACGGCCTCATCGTCCAGGGGGGTCCCGGCGTGGAGCAGCACTTGGTCCTCGGGGGGGACCCCCGAAAGCTCGGCCACCCTCTCCTGGGGGAGGGGGACAAAGAGAGGGGGGGGTCAGCACCCCGAAATGCGGGGGGGATTGGGGAGGGGGACAGCCCGAATTTGGGGGCTCACCTTGATCTGGGCGAGGGTCTCGGAGCCGGAGAGCTCGAGGGTGAGGAGGGTCTGGCCACGGATGAAGAGCTGCATGGNAGGACCCCCCCTCAGCGCCTCAGCCTCCTCTGACCCCCAAAAAACCCCCGGGACCCCCAAAAACCCTCCCACACCCCCCTCAGGGCCTCACAATCCCCCCCAAGACACCCCAGGCTCCTCAAAACCTCCTCAAGCCGCCTCATCACCCTCCCCCAGCCCCTCCCCGCCCTTCTGACCCCTCAAAAAGCCCCAAATCCCCTCAAAAACCTTCAAATCCCCCCAAAAAAATCCCCAAATTCTCCCGGACCCCTCGAGCGCGGCCTCACCGCGGCGTCTCCAAGGCGGAAAAGGAAGCGCGCAGGCGCGGCGTGGTGACGTCACCAGCACGTAAAGCGTGCGTGACGACGCCGCCAGCCACGGAACTACAAAGATGGCGGAGTTCTGGCAAGGGGCGTGGCCCGGAAAAATTTCGGAGCTTATTGGTTTAGAGCGCTGGTGGGCGGGGCTACACGGAGCGCGTCACTTCCGGGCGGCAAATCCCCGCGTTGCCGTGGCAACGCGATGGCGGCGGCTGAGGATAGGTGTGGGAGGGGCGGGTTTGGGGGGGTTTTTGGGGGGTTT